TGGCCCAGAGCAGGAACTCATTAAACATCAACTAAATGACTGACCAATGCTGCCTGTGATGGGGCAAAGCTGGAGGCTTCTGATCTGGGCTTGCTCCTGTGGTTCCCATGACTACTCCCCATTCCCTGGAGCCTGGATCCGGCACCAGACTGACCAGCTCTGTTGCCACTTGGATTAACAGTCTGATATTGCCCTGTCTTGACTGACCAGTAGCTTCCAACTCATCCTAGCCTAGGGCCATTATGGGAGCAGATAGCCATCCTCAGCTCACGCTCCTCACTTAGCCATTTGCTGAGTGTGACATCCAGTGGTCAGACTCTGAAAGGGCAGAGGTTGAGCTGAGGAAATTGAGGACATGGGGCAAAGTGAGCAGGTACTGACAGCCCTCTGGACAGGCTGAGCCCTGACCCCACCACAGATGAACTTTGACTTTAGATCCATGCTGAACCTTATCCTGGTTGAGCCTAGAGTCCAGCCACACAGTGAGAACTCTGGTCACAGACTGAAACCCTGTCTCTTTGAATATACTACTTTTCTAGGTAAGTTTTTTGAAAGCTATAACAACATAATATTGCCTTAAAAAGTTTTAAAGTTTATTTATTTATTTATTTAGATAAAGAAAGACAGGTAGTCACCATACCATAATCCTTCCCCAGCCTCCTAGCCAGATAGGGTCACAGGCACATGCAGGCATGACCCATGCATTCAGATCAGACTGAGATCTGAACCCAGGCCTCTTATTCAGCTCCAGGACTGCACTACTGCCTATGCCACCACTTATTATCAAAATGTAGCATATTTAGAAAAGTGCTCATATTACCAGATTTTTCACATCCACATAACCAACAGCCATTGCTGTTATCCCAGAAGCCTTCTCACACTTTCTTTTGCCCATTACCTCACCAAGGGTGACCACTGTCCCTGACTTCTATTAGCATATGTTAATGTTGTCTGTCCTTACACTTCCATACATTTTGAATCATACTGTTTATACTTTTTGGAGTCTGGCAACATTATGTAGGAGCAACTCATCTGTACTACAGTGTGTCATTGTTGATTATTTGTACTTGTTGGTTATGCTTAGTATTTCATTGTGTGAATGTTTGTCACAACCTAGTTTTCCACTCTACTAATGACATGCACTTGAGTGGTTTTGGTTGGAGGTTGTTGAAAGCAGTGCTGCTATGGATCTTGTATATACATACTTGGTGATCACAGGTAGGCATTTATGTACCTATGAGTGGAATTGCTCGATTATGGGTTATTTGTTTACCTTTAGTAGAAACTAGCAAACAGTTTTCTGAAATGGTTGTATCAATTTACATTGCACACTCAGTGTATGTGAATTCTGATTGCTCCACACCTTCGCCTTTTTTTTTTAATTGCTAGAGTTGGTGCACGAGAGAGAGAGAGAGAGAGAGAGAGAGAGAGAGAGAGAGAATCCCTAATAGAACATGGTCACTCCATAATGCCTTCTCCTCCATTTCTCGATCCCATTGGGATCTTGGGCATGCATGACCCCAGAAAGTATATATCCAGTGTGTTTTTCAAGTCATTGGGGTTGAGATTCAACCAACAATTGACCAAGTGGGATTTGCTCCTAATATACAATGCTTAACTTCTGCACATCGAAACCAGTCTGCCTTCACATTTTTTATTGAAGACTTTCTGTCTTTTTCATTTTAGAGTCTCTGGATGGTGCATGGTAGTAATATCACTTGTGGATAAGCCTGTGATACAATGAGCTTATATAAAGATGTTTTGTTTTTATTATTAATAACTAGAAGTGATCTTAATGGAATACTGGTCCTGGCATCTTATTGTTGATATGGAGAAGGGCTCTAGAACAACATTTCAAAGCCCAATTAAAAGGTTACCTGCAGGTGGTATGGTGGTTAGGGTGCTGGATTCCCACATGACTGGGCATAGTTTGCGTCCTGGACCCGGTGGCTTGAAAATCATGCTGGGCACACATGTATGTGTGCATGCCCAAAATCCCTGAGAGGAGAATGGAAGACAAGGGATTCTGGCATGGCCATCTCCCTTGGGGAGGAGGGCGATTTCTCATTTTCCCTCTGGTGAGCACATGTGGCCTATGGCAAAAACCTTGAAAAAAGAAGTTTTAGTCATTTTGTCGAAAATTTAAATTCCCTCAAGTTCATACTCATAAAGGAGTACTTCTATCACTTAACTACTTATTCTTAGTAACACTTATCTGAATGGGCATTTCATAGCACTTAACCTTAGAGGATTCCCCAGAAAGTAACTACTTTTGCTAAACTGGGCTTCAGCATTACATAAACCCACACCTACGAGCGTTACAAGAAACAAGGGAACTGGTTGCTGTATTTACTGTTGGGATCTTATTGAGGACAATGTTAATAACTCTGTCCACAATGGCTTCTCTGTAAGAGCTCCAGAAATTTCTTCTACATCTTTATGATAGGGGTAGACATTTTCCTTGGAGGAAACTATTTTGCTTTCAGCTGACAGACCTTATGAATCAAATAATGAACTATGTTTTCCTCTTCCCAGTGGCAGCTAGGGAGCTCAGAGTCAGATTTGCAGTCCATGGTGTCTGTACCTAGGTCTTTATAAACTGCATTATTTGTTCTAACCTCATCCCTGATTACTCTTAGTTCCTCCTCCCAATTCCTCTTTGTCCCTACTTGTTCACTTTTTGATTTTTTACTTTTTTATTCTTGAAAGGTCAATTCTTGATGTAGCTACCTTAGGAACGTGGAAATTAAAGAAATATCGTTGCCTTTGAGAGTTAAATGCTGGGATCGGCCCACCTGTTCAGAGCAGAGAAGTGCCAAAGCTTCAGGTGGATACAGGACAGCTTCCAGGCACCAACACTTGATTGCAACCTGGCTTTGATGTGCTTAGCAGGGTCCCCATTCCCCAGCATGGCCTCCTTTCCATTTTCCTGCCAAGTGATTAATGGGCCAAGTTCTGATCTTGGTGTTTGACTTCCTTCTTCAGACTAGGGGGTTGACTGCTTCCTATGGGTGATGTGTTTCCTGAAAGCAAAGGCAACAATCAACCTGTCATCTGAACAAGGGAGATTTATGACTTTCTTCTAATAGGATTGTTTGTACAAGGGTGACACTTGATTGATTTCTGCTATGGTGGGATCCACAGACTGGCAGCTGGAGGGTCTTCTGAGCATTTCTCTCATCCTTCCTGTATGGTTTTCATGGCTGGGAGTCCAGACCTGGTGCCAGAAAGATGGGGAAAGCAGGAGTTGGATGTCTGAGGGAGAACATAGATCTGAGACCTGGGTTCCAATGTTTGCTTTATTTGGATCTGTCTTATTTATTTATTTTAAATTTATATCTTTTGAGAGAGAGAAAGAGAAAGGGTCCCAAAGGGGTCTCATGATGTAAGCTCCCACCCCTAGCCTTCTCAGTGAGCCAGGATCATGGGCTCACAAGCACAGGTGGACCAAGGAATCAGACTCAACCAGATCCTTTTAGGATCCATCATCTTTCTCTCACTTTAAAAATTTGCCAGAGAGGGAACCAGCGGTTGGCGTAGTGGCTATGTCGCCGGACTCCCACGTAGTCGACCGCGGTTCGTGTCCCGGACCCGGTGGCTTAAAACTCACGCCGGGCGCGTGTGCGTGCGTGCCCAAGATCCCGAGAGGAGAATGGAGGAGAAGGGATTGCGGCGTGCCCATCCCCCCTGGGGGGTGATTTCTCGCTTTCTGTCTCTATGTCTCTCTCTGTCTGCCTGGCGAGCGCACGCGCCCTACAGTGAAAATCTCTCCAAAAAAAAAAAAATTTGCCAGAGGGCCTATGCACTTGCCAGGGAGAGAGAGAAAGTGAGAAGGTATCCCTCCCCACCACACCCTCATGGGATGGTCACACCACAACCTTTTGTCTTCCATTTCTCTCTCTTTTGGGAATTTTTGGCATGCATGTCATGTGCTCTGTATATTTTGCAAGCTGCTGGGTCCAGACTTGAATCATGCAGTCAGTCATGTGTGATCCAGCTATCTTAACCACCACGCTATGGACTGGCCCAGAATCCACTAGCTCTTAGGCAGCGTGCTACCACCGCCACCAAGCCAGTCCAGGGCCTTCTGCTTAGCTGGAAGGCAGTCCCTTAAAATGGTCCCAGGCCATCAATTTTTGGGGGCCACATTGAGAAATAAAGAAATGTCTTTCTAATGATCACTGAGCAAGGGGGTGTGGCAGAGTCTTCCATGGCACAGATTTTCCCCAGCAGACAAAGCTTGATGCTGACCCCTTGGCTGTTATTACAGGTGAGTGCTGGGACCACAGAGTGGGTGAGCATAATATTTTGTCCAAATTCTGACAAGTTCCAAAGAGATAATTCATCTCTTTTCTTTATCTTCTGATAGAATCAAACTTTTGCCAAAGTTTCTTTGGACTGAAAAATAGTTCCAGAATCTCCCATTTGGTAGAGCAAAGGGCAGGGGACTAGCTACATCCTAGAAATTTATAATGCTGGACTGCTAGGGTAGGCAGAATAATGGCTCCATAGCCATAGTTCACATCCTAACTCCTGAAACCTGTGACTGTGTCACTCAACATGGCATAAGGAATTTTGCAGGTATGGTTAAGTTAAGGATCTTGAGATGGGAGATTACCCTAGATCATCCAGATGGTCTTAATGTAATCATGAGGCCCTTCTAAGAGAGAGGCAGGGTAGTAGTGAGAAAAGAAGATGCTGTGATAGGATTGGGGGCTGCATAACTGCTGGTCGAAGATGGCTAAGTGTCAGAGCCATGGAATATGGGTGGCCTTTAGAAGCTGGAAGAGTCGGGGGACAGATTCTACCCTAGAGCCTCCAGGAAGAATGCAGCTCTGATAACACCTTGATTTCAACCCAGTTCTGACTTGCAGAACTGCAGGATACTGTGCATTGGTTAAGTGGTTAAGTTTTACAGTGGCAACAGGAAACTATTAGATTGGTGGAAAAGCAATTGTGGTTTTGGACTATGAATTTTAAATCATTATAACTAGGCTTGAACATATCTTTATTAATCAAATTAGGAACCATTAAAATCAACATATTTTGTCAATGATGAGAAATAAGTTTGTTTATTCTTGTAGCGTAAACACCCATGCTTCCAGATTTGATGAGCTTTAGGAAAAGCACCTTTGGCATCTAGCAGGTTGTGGAAGTGTTTTCCCTCTAAAAGTTGCCGAGATACTTGAAGAATGGTAGTTGCTTGGCAAGAGGTCACATGAATATGGCAGATGAGGCAAAACTTCGTAGCCCAATTTTTTCAACTTTTGGAGGATAGATTGTGCTTCTTAGTTTCAGGCAAAGATTTTCCCAGACCTTCTCTCTCCTCTAGGGGACAGAATAGTCAAGGAGGTGTTGAGAAACAGAAGTGAAACATCATCAGATGGTCTGGTGAATACAAATACATCTTCATCTCTAGAATCTGGGGTGAGAGAGTGCACACTTAGTTACAGCCTCTGAGAGCGTCACAGGGCCCCTACGGGGCATGGTCCTGGGTATGCTGTGGCTCTGCTCAGCTGGGTGCCAAGCTTGGCAAGTATCCCTTTCATTCTCCCACCCCAAGGCAGGACAGGTGGTGGATAGACAGTCTTTTTTCTTCTTTTTTGAAGAAAGAGAGAGATAGGGAGAGAGGTACCTTCGACAGGGTCTTATGCCATCATCCCTTCCCCCTACCCTTCCAAGCCAGCATCATAGGCACACGCATACACCCCCAGCTAGTAAAGTCAACCTGGGAATCAAACCCCAATCTTCCATACGGCTTCCATCATTGCAAAGTGGTTGCTCCACCTCTGCACCACCTTGGCTGCACTAAGTTAGGCTGTTTGAACTCAGCCGTTTCCCTAGCAATTAACTTAGCAGGTGTGAGCAACTGTTGAATGAACAGATGCACTTCACTTGGGTTTCAAACCCAGCTGAGCAGTGAAGCAGCTGTGTGGCCTTGAGTAAACTGTTTTCCCTTTGTCATCCGTCAAAAGAGAACAGTGAGACCTACTAGGGTTAGTCATTTCAGTCTTCTTCTTCTTCTTTTTTTTTTTTTTCCAAATAAAAAAAAATCTTTCTTAGGGGCCAGCTGATGGTATAGCGGTTGCCTTGCTGGATTCCCACATGGCCAACTACAGTTTGAGTCCTGGACCTGATAGTTTGACAATCATGCCAGGTGCATGTGTGTGCATGCCCAAAATTCCATGAGGAGAATAGAGGAGAAGGGATTGCAGCATGGCCTTGCCTCCCTGGGGAGTGATTTTTCACTTTCCTTTTCATTGATTTTGTCTCTCTCCAGGGAGTGCACACACTCTAAGGCAAAAACCTCTTGAAAAGGAAAAAAAATGTATTGTAAAAATAAACATAAGGAAGATCACATATAACAAATGTATGGTTTGATGAGTTATCATAAGACAAATATTTTTATAACCATTACCTGAGTTAAAGAGCTTGATGGTTTTTATTTTATTTATTTATTTATTTACTTTTTTTTTTCTTTTGCCATAGGGCATGTGTATTCTCTGGAGAGAGACAGAGAGAGGGAAAGTGAGAAATCACTCCCCAGGAGATGGCCACACCTCAATCCCTTTTCCTCCATTTTCCTCTCAGGATTTTGGGTATGTATGCACATACAGACTGGGTGTGATTTTTAACCTGCTGGGTCCTAGGACTCAAATCATGGTCAGCCATGTGGGAATCCAGTGCCTCAGCTTCCATCCCACCTGCTGGTTTCAGGAAATGGTACTTTGTGTGACTAGCAGATGGCATAATGGTTACATTGCTGGACTACCACATGGCTGACTGAAGTTCGAGTCCCAGACTTCAGAGGCTTAAAACTCATGCTGGGGGACCAGCAGTTGGCATGATGGCTATATCGCTGGATTACCATGTAGTTGACCATGGTCTGAGTCCCAGATCCAGTGGCTTAAACTCACAACAGGCGCATGTGCATGCTTGCCCAAGATCTCAAGAGGAGAATGGAGAAGGGATTGTGGCATGGCCATCCCCCCCACCCTGGGGGGTGATTTCTCGCTTTCTATCTCTCTCTGTCTTTCTGGCAAGCTCATGCGCCCTATAGCAAAAACTTCTCCAAAGGAAAAACAAAAAAACAAAAAACAAAATTCATGCTGGGTACATGTGTGTTCATGCCCCAAATCCTGAGGGGAGACTGGAGAAGAAATCCCTGGGGGGTGATTTCTTGCTTTCTGTCTCTCCAGCAATCTCATGTGCCCTATAGCAAAAATCTCTCTAAAAACAAAGAAGAAAAAAGAAAAGAGAAATGGTAATTTGTAACCAGCTCCTCAACACTTCAATTTCCTCCAGGTGCCCCCTTCACAATCTTAGCTCATCCCAACACCTTTCACAGTTATTAAATGCTTTCTCGCAATGCTCCTTTTCCCCCTTCAGTTTGCTGGAGAGAGACAGAGAGGGAAAGAGAGAAAGTAAGAAAGCAACCCCTCAGGGGGTATTACCATGCTGCAGTCCCTTCTCCATCAGAATTTTGGGCACATATGTACACACACCTGGAATGTTTTTCAAGCAGCCAGGTCTGGGACTTGAACCAGAGTCAGGCAATACGGGATCCAGTTGTCTTAACCACCATGCCACCTGGCTGGCTCAAAAGACATCTCTTTAAAGTCTATTTTTTTTTAAAGTCTTATTTTTTTTTTTTCCATGAATGAACAACAGAGACAGACACCCCCAACAGGGCTTTTATGCTGCGTTCTACCTCCAGCTTTAGCCCTGCCCCAGATTATGGGCCTGTGCATGTGTGTTCAGGGAGGCCTCTGGATGAGAACCCAGCACCTTCCCATGTGAGTTCGCCTTGCAAACCATTTGTGTTACTGCTGTGCCACAATAGGGCTTCTCTTGAAAGTCTCTTTGGCGCTATAGGTCCTCTGTACCCTTTCTTTTTCTCACCAGCTATCTGCAGCCTGTAGAGTTTCCCATAGCCTGCTGATGGTACCCTCATTCTGTAGTTTAACATTGTCCTCTAGTCTCTGTGCCTCTTGCAAATTGGCAGCTGGATCCACGGCCTTGATCAGACTTAGGTTCAATCCCTTAGGCTACATTCTTGGTGGGTTGTGTTCTTTCATCTGGAGGCACACAATGCTAGGTGATCCCTTTTTCAGTGCTTGCAGCTATTGATGCTCATCTTCTTAATCTGCTATTGGGTTGCTGACAGAAATACTGAGATTGGGTGACTACTAAAGAAAGAGGTTTATTTGACTCATGATTCTGATGACCAGAAAGTCTAAAGGCATAGGGCTGGCACCAGGACAACTAAGTCACAACATGACTGACAGAAGCAGAGAGGATGGTGGGCAATGCAGAGAGAGACCCAGGGGCATGTTCCTTGCATAACAATTCACTCTCATGAGAAATTACCCCTTCTCAGGAGAGCTGGAACTCACTGAGACTTGAGAGACAGCATCGATCCATTCACGAGAGTGGTGACTCTATGATCCAATCATTGCCCAGTAGGCCTCATCTCTTACAGATCTCATCACCTCCCATCGCCATTACACTGGGAGTCAAATTTCAACACATGAACCTTTAGGGGACAGCCCATTATCCAAACCATAGCACTCATTATTGGTTAGTCCATTAATTCATCAGGGGTTACAAAGTGGTGGTAGTCCATTCCTAGCCCTTCTTTTTCATTTATAATATTAATTGGAGTACTTTTAGAAAGAGACACTTTCCCTCATTTAAAAAACTGTGTATTACTTATTATTGACACATAGTATAATTACTTTATGGAATACCTTGTGATTTTTTTCAGTATGTGAATACAATGAATGTATAATAATCAAAGTATATTTATCATCATACACAGTTATTATTACTTTGCTTTTAAAGCATTCAAAATAATTTCTTTGAGCTATTTTGAAATACACAGTAAGTTATTATTCACTATAGCTGCCCTACTGTGCTACAGGACACTGAAGTTTATTCCTCTTATCTAACTGTACTTTTATAATCTGTTAACCAACATTTCCCTATCTTCCTCTCCCTTCTACCTTTCCCCCACCTCTAGTAACCACTGTTTATTTTATTCTCTGCATCTCCCTCATTCATCCTTTGTTACTTCGTGGCATAGATCACGTAACCAAGTCGGATGTTTGATTCTTTCCTTTTATTTACCAGTTTTCAAGAGATTGAATTGGTTCTTTATCATCCTCCAAAGGAGACCAATAAGTTTCGTGTCAATATCATTATGCGCTCTAGAACTTAACCGTATTTGGCAGGTTACCATCACTGACCAGAATTGATCTTTTTGAAATTCAAATCGAGCCTTTCTTGGACAGGACAACCCTGTTGGGTTAGTTCCTAAGTCCCTGCCTTGTTTTTTGTGGGGTTTGTACCAGGTCCACCTGCAGTCCTCATCTGCCCCCCATCTGGGATCAGTGTTTTCTTCAAGAAGGCTTTTTATTTTCATATTTAAATGGGAAGTGGTGTTTACCACTATCTGGGTGTTAGGGTTGTCCATTGCTATTGGTCGGATCATTAGGAAATACATTTTCACACACACACACACACACACACACAGACTCTTATCAGCCAGACACCAGGAGGATGGTGCTCTGAGTGTATCCTGATAACTCAAGGTCACATTTAAGATTTTTACCTAGTCTCTTTTTAAATAATTACCTATTGCCTTAATCTCTTTCATGCTACTCCTCTCCTCTCTTTCATACTGACCATTGGAGTCTCAAAGATACCAGGAATGATAGAATCAGAACATCCCATAATGACTTTGCTTTATTTCATATTGCATGTCCAACAGTCCTAAAATTACATCCATAATGCCATCACCCACATAATTATTGAGAACAGTTACTTTTTTTTAGTATATGCGTTCTCATTTTCTATATTACAGTTACTGTACTTCCTTGCTTTGGTTTTCTTCTTCAGAGACTCATCATTTGTATGTTAGGACTTCTTTGCCTAATTTCAACACTTGTCACTTTCTCTAGAATATTTTAGAAAATCTTTTTCATTTCTTGTTGAATTTAAAACATTTTTTCATTGGGCCAGCCAGTGGCATGGTGTTAAGGCAGCTGGATCCCACATGGCTGACTTTGTTGTATGAGTTCCAGGCCTGGTAGCTTAAAAAACATGCTGGGTGCATATGTGTGTGTGCCCCAATCCTGAGGGGAGAATGGAGGAGAAGGGATTGTGGTATGACCTTTCCCTATGGGGGGTGATTTCTCTCTCTCTCTCTCTCTTCATGTCTCTCTCTCCAGTGAACACATGTGCCCTACAGCAAAACTGAAGTAAATAAGTAAAGCATTTCATTCTTTTTACTTTTTTTCTCCTAAGGCATTGTTTTAAGCTTGGATTAATTTACTCTTGTATTTTTCCTAGTTTAGCCTTTGTCTCTAAAACACATTTTTTTCTCATATTTTTTGTTCTGTCTTGAGTCCCGTAAGGGACTTTGTAAGATTTTTGAATTCAGATTTGTGCTGTTCTTTCACATCTTACATGATTTAAAAATTCCCTTCAGGTAATTTTAAAATAGAAGGTTAACGTTTTGATCTATTCTGAGAAATGTCTGGTTTGCCCGCATTTATTGCTTGCAGGGATGCTGTTTTGCTCCATATTCTCCTTTTGCCAAAGTTAACTTGGTGTGGAATTTGGCCTCGAGACTCTTCTGTTGCTTGTTTTCATGTGAAATTAGTTTTCCTAAACTTGTAGCAGGAGATTTCAGGGCAGCGTTTCTAACTTCAAGGGTATCCTCCCTTGCGGCTTTCATGTGGTGGGTAATAATGTGGTGGCCTCTTTCTGAGGTCACTTCCTCCCACTTTTATCTGGATCTTCTCTGTCCCTTCTTATTTATTTTTTCCTTATTCATGAGAGAGTGCATGTGTGTGCATGAAAGGGGGGGGAGAGGGAGAGGGAGAGAGGGAGGGAGGGAGGGAGGGAAGGAGAGAGACAGAGAGAGAGAGAGAGAGAGAGAGAGAGAGAGAGAGACTCTATAGCCAGTTGGGCCATCCATTCTTCTTTTTGATTATCTTGATACTGCTCCTTTAAATTTAAAAAAAAGTTGCCAGAGGATGCATGCACTCACCAGAGACAGAGACAGAAAGGGTGAGGAAGAAAGCACCTCCTCCCTGCTGGCGTGAGGTCATGCTGCAATCCCTTCTCCATTTCTTCATCCCAAGATCCGGTTCCCACTAAGCCATGGGGCTACCCTCCCCTTTTGTTTCTTTTTTTAAAAAGAATTATTGATGGGGCCAGCAGCTGGCATGGTGGTTAAGGGCGCCTGACTACCATATGGTCAACTCACGGTTCAAGTCTCAGACCTGGCAGCTTGCTTTCTCACTTTCCTTCTCTCTCTCTCTTTCTCTTTCACTCTGTCCCTTTCTGGTCAAATGAAAATAAATAAATAAAGTTAAATAAAATAAT